CGTCCTGGACGACATCGTTGTTTTAAATTTTTGGTTTTTTTTAACTGTGATGACCACTGATACAGTGTCCTTAATGGGAACTTGATAATTTTGTGTAATTCATTTACATTTCATGTTCCATTATTCCACAACGACTTAATTACCTCACGTCGTTCTTTAATAGAAATTTTTTGCGGCATTATTACATCATATCGGTCATAAGGCACTCTTGTGTTCAGTTTTTTATGCATGTTGATCAGTGTAATATAGTAAACAACTAAACAAAATTTGGTTTGTGTTGTCCAATCAGATGTGATATAAATCATTGTTTTAATCACATAATCGCGACTGCCATTTTTTTAGCCACTACTGTAAACGTTGTTCTTTAGTATAACAATCATTAATTAGTATGGTTAGCACTTATATTATGTGACAATTAAAAGACAATGTGCTAGCAAACAAAGAATGTAGGCCCTCAGACTAGTCGTATGACAATACGAAACATTGTTCTATAACGTGATTTGCAAAGCAGCGTATAAAAGAGATTTTTCCCTTTGTTTTCATTCTGACAAAGGCATGGAGGGGTTCTTCGATCTATTTGCTAACTGGACTGGACCCGGTACCTATAGTTGATTTGGCGCTTCAATACAGAGAAGTATCACATGTTTGTGTAAGTAAAACGTATAAACAGGGCTGTGTTAGGCAGCGCAGATTGCGACTCTTCTTTACCATTCTCATTTACTGTCATACAACAACTAGACATGAACGCTATGAACGTGGACCCACTGAGCCAATGGAGATTTGCTGTTAAATTTAAAGATCACAACTCAAGAGCAACTGAGGAGGAGGTTAAAAACGCATATGAAGCATATAAAGAATTTTTTTATAAATACCACAAGGACCACCTCACGGATTGCTATATGGAATATCTTCAAACACTTGGTAAGCAAGCAAGCAGTATATGTTATTGGGAGGATAGAGAAGCAGCGGGGAAAAGAGTTTGAATACTGTTATTGGCTTTGTGCTATATTGCAAGAGAGGCAGTTGGGCGTTATTAGTTGGAGCAGAACTGGGTCATAGAGATATTATGTGGTTCATAGAGCGGTAACAGAGAGAGAATAGTTAGAACACACGTATTGGGAGGAGTGTAAAATAGAGCTTAGTAAATGGCAGAGAAGCTAGGTTTATATGTAACTCGTTTCAAAGACAAATAAGTAAGATCAATAGTTTGGGTTGAATAACGTGCACTATCTGGTTAATTTCTCATGATACTGACCGTCCATTGATTGCTGTTTGCATTCTTAAAGTTCCTCAAAAATAATGAAGTCACGGGATAATGGTAAATACATGGAAATGTTTGTATAGTTCCCTATGAATTCACCTGACTCTCTCTCTCTTTCTCTCTCTCTTTCGTGTTTTCTTGAAAATAGTTCTTGATATAGCATTCTCAGTCCCATTCAGTTCGAACATCAATTATATCACCGAGTTAAACCAGCAGTTAGGGTCGATCAGAGATTCTTTGAAATATTTTAATTACCTTGCGGTAGTCCAGTCATCCGGATATGGTAAAACGAGGGCTATACATGAACTGGTAAAACTATATCCCGTGATATACCTGTGTTTCCGTTCATCCGTATCAACTGGATATCTGAAAGTAATGACACATAGCTTGACATTAAAGAATGAGATCGAGTTTTGCGACATGATAGCCAAAGCGGAGGCTGTGGCTAACAGATGGCTTGTTACAATAGTTATTACTTTTCTGAATAAGAGCCGCGTTTACAATAGGGTAGATGGGAAGAAATATCTCCAACATATATTAGAAGATAGGGAAAGCAAGGTAATGTATAGTTATTATTTACATTTATGTTATATACAACGAAATGATTATTAGAAAAAACACAAGCAGAATCAAGCAAAAGAGTTCTGGGACGCCGTCTATCAGAAGAAAAAACAGATCGATATACTCCCCCCCTTGACCTTGAACCAGTTCATAATAATATGCTTTGATGAGGCCTCCGCACTTACTGGTAAGATTTTTATGGTCTTTGTTGAACAACCAGACATCAATCCTGAATCCTCATTGGTTTGTTAGAAACGGATGATCGGAAAGTCTTTAAGGCAATTCGCAGAGCACTTCGCAATCAACGGGAGAACATCGTTGGAATTTTCGCAGATACAAATTGGTGACTTAGTACCCGCTCAAGACGAAGATGACTCTGTAAGTTCAAACCTGTGACATTTTTCATATTATGACCTTTATTTATTTTGTCTATTGCTGAAGAAAATCAAAGGCGAGGGATTTGAATCTTCACGCTCACAGACCGTTTGTTCACATTGCTTCAACAGATTGCTTAAGGTTTAGATTTGATTGTCCTTTGCAGGTGTCAGTTAGAGTGTTTGGTAATAATATTTGTTTATCACATAGCAATACAAGTTACTCCGAAGAAGAAATGAAGATGGGTTACAATATTGTTTGCTATGGTTGGCCATTGTGACAGTCTATGTGGAATGGTATGACATATAATGCATTACGTGAGAGGTATCGCTATTTAGTAGATATAGCAATGACAAAGCTATGCGGTGGAACTCTTAAGTGAGAAAAACACTGGCAACGATCTGCAACAGCCCTGATGGCTTGCACTATTTGCATCTACATCTATCCTCTATCACGTATGGCAAGAGACCTAGTCAAATCACATATAGTAATAATTATCACTGCTGAGGACTCTGGTAAGAAGCATCTCATTGGATATCCATCAGAATCAATATTATATGAAGGAGCATTGACACTGCTATCGAGGCCTAGCGTTGAGCTTGAAGTGCTGAAGGAGCTGGATTTAGTTAGAAAAGAAGGTAGGGTTATCGATACTGGCAATCGAGAAGAACTATATGCAAGAATACTGCTATTAAGTGCAAGGCGTCAGCAGATACTATCCTTTAGGAAGGAAAATTATGAAATACATATTGAAACTCTCATTCGTATACTTTACATCGTCGTTATCTTACTGTATCTTTTTTTGTGTAAAGAATTATCCAACATTCTCTACCCATCAACCAGTTATTGCATACCTTCACGAACTGTTCTCTTCTGAGTTTTCCCATGAGAAATTCCAACACCTGGCAGCATATGATATGGGATTCACATATTTTGTCGCGCTTGACCATATCCCAGATGAATCTACTTTGCAGCTCTGTTGAGATCGAAGTGCAGCCATCATCTACCAGCGCAACCAGTCAGGTGCAGATATCGCATTAGTCATGTGCCACTGAGATGAAAAAAATTAGCAGTATTGAACAGTGTTAGCATTGGACTCATTCCAATTAATTCAATTAGACGATTTGGACAATTGGACAATTGAATATAGTCCAATTGGTCCAATTGTCCAATTGTCCAATTGAATGTTTGTTGGAATTGGACATTGTCCAATTGTTCAATTGATCAATTGGACTGACAATTGG